GATCTTATAGTGACCTCCCAGTGCCTGAAGGAAGTATCTTCCTGCTCCCTGTATGTCCAGCCTTGATGTGCTCTATCAAATATTCAGTGTCACAGGAGCTTTCACTGAGGTTGTTACTTAGACACAAATTGTCTTCCCTATTTTTTTTTTTTTTTTTTTTTGTACAAATGTGTCTTTGGATCCAGTTGCTGAGATACTGCAGCAGATGAAGAAAAGACCAACACCGAGATGTCTTCAGGCATCAGGCATCAGCCCTTTATTGAACCTTTGCACTGTTTATATATCCTTTTTTCCTCCAGCGAGTCCCAAGCATGCAGCATTGTTTCACTTTTGATCCACTACCCCTTATCACACACGCGCCTAAACAGTTGACATGATTGGATAATTCCACCTGTTCACAAGCCATTCCTTTACTTCTGACTGGTTACTAATTACAGCTCACAAACCATCCTTATCTTGTCTCATACACATTCCTTCTTGTTTTTCTGTTTTTTGTTGTTTCATTTTATCTTCACTCAAGGTCAGGAATTGAATGCTCAAGGCTGAAGCCGCCTGCAGCTTCTAGCTCTTAAAGCACCAACAAGATACCAAACCAGGGCTGAAGCCTTTCTTAATCTCCCAAGTGGTTTCTACACATCTCCTGTAAAGTGCCATGCTGTCCATATTATTTTCAATGGTTTTCATTTTCAGTGGGTTCACAGGTTCCAAGCAGACAATGGGAAGATGCTTCCAAAAATGGGATCTTCCAAACTGAGAGCGACAGAGAAATCCACATGTAGGCTGAATATGAAACATCAGTATGTAAAAGCCTGACTCATATCTTAGCCTTTTGGGAGGGACCACTTTCTTTTAACAAGTACAGGATCCTCCTCTTTTTTCATACTCTCAGGTTTCGCTTTTGCTTGATTCTTTCTCTCCACAAAAGACGTGATAGTCTCTCATTAAGAGCTAAAATCTCATTTTCCAGGGAATATTCCTGATCTACCTCAGAGATGGTTAGGGAACCCCATTCATTTACTGTTCAGTCACCAGCCTCCAAAATTGTTGAGTTTGTTTGGTTTGTTTTGTTGTTTTTTTTTTTTTCCCTTAGATAACCAGGACATCAGTTGAGTGCTGTCTTTGTAGACATAAGTATCACTCACTGTTCCTCCTTTACTATTTTTTTCTATGTAGACATTCTTTCTTGGTATTTATGGCTTAATGTGGAGCCAAGAAAAAGTCAGAAAATAATTCCACAATTAAAACCATCAAGACATTGTGTTTGTTATTCAGCATACAGATAGACAGATTATACTAAGGTATCATAAATACAAATTACATCTTCTGTCCCACCCCACTTTGATCTGAGGACTGGGACTGATTTTTCGTAAGAGCTTGTTGTGTTCACTTGTTATTTTAGAGTCAAATATTGTATTTTTCTACTTAACATATTTTACAAAGACCTATTATTTTCTTCTGTTATTTGCTGATATTCTCCTCAGAAACACCCTAACAAATTGCAGAAACAGCTACTGGTACCACCTGTTTTGTGTGCTGTGTTTTCTTCTCAACTTCTCCAGGTGAGGAAACTATGAGGTATTTATTTTTCTTAGCGTGGGCATTGTTCAGCTTTTAAAATACTTGAGGGCACTCAGTTTTTCTGCTTTCTAAAGCAAAACCAAACAAAATTCCTACCTTGTTTAATAATTTCTAGAAGAAGTTGTATTTGGTTGTCCGAAAATCAAGGGAAGTTCTCTTCACTGTGAAATATTTTAAAAACAGAAGTATACCAGGCAAATGACTCGTTTCTTTTAATGCCATCTCACAGCGGTTCACTATTCGGGTTTGTTCTTACGAGGGTTGAACTGGAAGGCAGTCAGACAATTCTCAGATAACAAGCAGGAAAAAACAACGTAAATCCATTAACCCAGGTGAACTACAAATAGTTAATTATGCACAAGTAACGAAAGAGGTTTCCTCACCATCATAACTTATCCTGGAACACAGATTTAAACAACTTTTCTTTTGTCTGGTTGGGGTAAAGAAAGGAAAGTGCATCTTCTTAGCTTTAGAAATAGATCATTAACATGTAAACATAAGATACTATGCCTCTATATTTTAAGTAACATTTATATTATCTAAAATTTAAAAACCCTTCTGATGCTAATCTGTAATTGACATCTGACAGAGTCCAAATTGCAACAGATAGGATAAGTGCAGTCAACAGCAGAAATTATGCTTCTCTATGCTCTGAGAAACGTTCATATTTCCTTACATGGATAAACTTTATTTTGTTACTACGCTTCCCTCACACAACACACTATATTCTGAACAAAACAAGAATTGAAATTTCACAATTGAAGGGCAAGGATGTGACCTTTTGTGTTTTCTCCCTATTTTGAGTTCCAGACCCAGCTTTTGTTCACATTGTCATATTCCATGATATTATTACATAGCTGCCTCTAAAGCTCAGTAAAGGATATTTCAAACAGAGCAAAAAGGGAGTGCCAGAATGCATAAGTCATCCTGACACCAATGCAAAACAAATGGTGGAGCCAGTGACAGTGGAACAGTGAAATCAAATCACTATTTTTCATCCTCCTTAAAAGTGAACACTGGATATCCAGAACAAGATTTGCAAAACCTCTCTGCATTGGCCTTTCCTCTGTTCTCGGTAACATTGGTAGGTCAGCAAAAGAGCAGAGACTAAGAGCCACCTTTAGTTTTACCCAATATGAGAAGAGTGGAGCCTTACTTCCTCTGCCTCTCACTTTGGGTATCGTCACTTCACAGTACGAAGCTATTCCTTTGTTCTTTACACTTGGAAAATTTCTGCTGAATTCAGTGGGTATTTGAATGGTTCAGAGAATAGAGAAGATCCTGTATATCTCTGTATCCTCATCATAAGCAGAGCGAGAATTACCTGTCTGAAGGGTGTTCATCAAGTCCTTGGGATCTTTGCAAGTCATGGCTTAATTCCTCAGTTATTAAAATGTCTCTTTTCCACATGGTTGCAAAGCCCTACGAAGTCTCCAAAGTAGCTTCAGCCTTCACTTGTCACTGTCAACAAATGAATCCAGGTGGAAAATGTGATACAAGACTTCAAATGGGTGAAGTCAGGACAGTTTGATGAAGGTTATAGGTTACAAGGACTTGCTCCAGGCCACTTGGCATATACCTGATGTATACAAATAATGGTTGTCTGATTGCCAAGGGTTTATGTCATTTAGCAGAATTTCCCCGATTTCACTTTGCTGTTCAGTTCTTTACATGAAAGAGTCCTCTGAGCTCCTAGAGCCCACATGCTTATAAAGGAATAGCACATAGACACCAGGGAAATTACACTATGCACATAACAAAGCAAACCTCAGTCTCTAAATCTACAATTTATTTTCTTTAAACGGTCAGTAAGTATTATCTTTTACATTTTTATTTTCTGCATTTTTTTTCTAGCTCTTTGCTATCAAAACTTTTCTGTTTATAGTTTCATTTTAACTTGCTAAGGTACTTCCAGATATTTAGGATTTGTTGTGAAACCCCTCTAAGATTCTATGCTGGTCATGTATAAAGGTCCACCTCTAATCACAACTCCCAGTTTAGCATCTTTCTTTATGAGCTCAGGAGAATATGAAAACAGCTGTAAAATTTGCTTGAGGTACTTTCTAGTGATCTCCTATGGACCACCCCTTCTCAGTCAGGTTTGCAGGATGAGGCTGAAAGAGGGAATGCATTTCCTTTTTCTCTCACTTTCTGTACAACAGGCAACACATGAGGCAGTAGTCTCCAGACCTAAATCTTGGAAAACAATCCTTGATATCGCCGTATCAGTGTGCTGTCAATGTCTTCTACTTTCTGGCATCCTGGAGGAGAAGTTGCACGTCAGTTGAAAGCCCTCCTTTTCTATCCCTCTCCAAGCCTTTTCTTTTTCTATCCCATAGAAATCTACATTCTGTCAGAGGAAGTCCACCCCTTTGGAATCAAGGATTTGCCACTACTATTTTGGAGATTTATTGCTGTCCTAGTGAAAAACATTTTTATTTACTATCTACTCAGTTCCCTATCTATATGACAGAGATAAGAACAAGTCCTTTTCCCATCTCACCATAGCCTTTTCTGTTTATACTGCAAATATTTCCACCTCCCTTCTGTAGGTTACTACAGCTTCTTGCCATGGGCAAATGAAAGCTCCGTGGAAATGTGAGATAGAGGTGGTTATTACAGAGAGTAACATCGATGTCTCACCTGTCAGTGCCATTGCCAGGCGAAACTCTTCCTTCAGCATCTGGAGAACGTCTTTTGCTCCTTCTTCACCCTAGGAGACAATATGTACTATTACGTGTGCATATGACTCGTGTAATACAGAGGCATATAAAAGTGCCACGTTCTGTGCACAACCATAACTCCTGAGTAGTCATCGTAGCAAATGTTATATTAGTGGTCTGCATATACACACTCAACTATCACAGACTCACTCCCGTGTGCAAGCACATACACGTAGGTGCATACACCAACTCTAAACAGCGAGTATAGGTATCGAAAAAGAGAAATTTGAGTTTGGTTTTTTTTTTAACTTACTTGATAAACCAAGCCCCAGATGAGAGGTCTTCCAATGAATACAGCTTTGGCACCCAGAGCCAATGCTTTGAGGACGTCTGTGCCTTTTCTTACACCACCATCCAGGAACACCTCCACCTTTCCCTCCGCAGCCTCCACAATTTCAGGCAAGACATCAATCTAAAAGAGTGAAATCAGGAATACAGCTTCTCTGCTACTGTACCCCTGTTTATTTTTTTATTTAATTTTTATGTAGAGGATCCAAGCTTTAACAAAGCTAAAGGAGTAATTGCATGCCTAACAGTATGCACAAATAATACAGCTTTATGTTGAAAAACAGCAGTGATTTAGCATGTTAGCAGTTATATAAAAGTTCACACAAAAAGTCTATCTGATCCCATGTCAGAGGTAAGACAAGTCAGTAGGAGATACTTCTGAAGACTATAAGAAAGAGCAAGCACGGTGGTGGTCTTTCCTTGATCTTAGCCTCCGAAATTCCAGTATTCAATAATTTAAGGATGAAATTGAATAATTGTCACTTTTTAAATAATCATATCTTCACTTCCTTGTTTAAATGTATTATTCATTTATAGTAAAGGCCAGCTAGCGTCCAGGAGCCCAGAGGCAGCCATTGTACCTATAGACATGGAGAAAAATGTGCCTGGAGGAACTTGAGTTGTCTGAAAAATTTTAATGAATACATTTTCCTTTTGAAAATGCATCTTGATTACAGGAATAACTGTAGAGAAAATTTTTTTGTATAAGAAAAAAATTACCTTTCCTCTGAGTTTTGAGCAAGGAGGGAAATGTTTTCTTAAAAGTGTACATATATATTACTTTCACCAAGCTCTACTTTTCCCCTACACCAGTGATGTATGTAAGGAGGAAAAGCATTTTTAGTTTTTCCTAAGTTACAACTAAGTTACCAGAGACCTAAGTAGTGTGTGCACAACACGAAAGAGGTTCCACTGAAGAGATGAGCCTCCTGAATTCAAGCTTCAAGCATTAATTACAGGAGAACTGTTCCTACAAAGTCTAAATATTTCCTATTAATGAAAATCAGGAAAGACAAAATTGGAAGCAAAGTACTAAGGAAACTGGAAACAGTGTGTGGTAGTAAGACAAGAGCCACACACCTTCATATCTTTCATATAAGGATGTAATTAATTTCCTTTCTAATGGATGAAAAATAACTAGATGATGAGAAATAAAAGAACAACTTGAAAATGGAATTTGGTTTTAGATTTGGATTAAAAGTTTGTCACTTTCTGTGATTCGTTTCCCCTCCCGTTGGCTTTGCTCTCTTGCCAAACACATTTTGTATCTTTTTCCATATACAGAGAGCACTTTCTAAATCCTGACTAATGGTACCAACTTTAAAATGCTATAATAACTGAAGTATGAAGCAAACCATAATTAAAACATAGATTTCCTCCATTTCCAACTACACACTAGAAATATTAATCCCCTTGGTTTCAGCTCACATTCTGAAAACCCCTGAAATTAAAGCAAATTATTATGTTTCTAAACCAGAAACATTTAGCTTGATCTGATACAGATATTTACATTATGAAAACTGCATTGTGAAATGTAGTTTTTTTATTAAGAAATCCAGTGAGCAAATCATCTTTAACGGTACCTTTTCCTCTGCACAGTGTTGTTCCAAAGGAATAACTCATAAGTAGTTTGCAAGTTTAATTTCTGTTCTAATGCAGTTTTCAAAAAGTTAATTCATATTTCTTGACATCTCCCTTTTGTCAAAAATTCTGTTTTTAATATCCTCTTATATTTTTCCCACTGGATTACCTCACACACAGACCTGCCTGAGATTTTTCAATACTCTTACTGAAATCTGGGAATGTATTCTCAAAAAGTGATAAGTAGATAAAGACAACAGAATATGAAGAAGAAAAATTCATTGCAGAAGCATTAGACACCCCACACTCTAAAAATTTATTTCTTCTCAAATTGTCTAAAACTAAAGAGCAGAAAACTCTGCAACAGCACAAAATCACATTTGAAGAAAAACCAAATAGTGTCTCTTTTGAAACTAGAGAACTTCTGGCACTGGGGAGATGTTTCTTACCAGTCCCCAGGAGTACCTGGAGACAGAGTCAGACAATGGTATCTCCGAGGACAATATCTCAATTTCATTAACCATTTAGAAAACCATTTGTGCTGGCATTTGGCTTCTACAATGCAAGGCTTTGCTGGTGAAGGACCAGCCAACACAACCAAGGAAATCAATGGGTCCATGTGAAGACCTCTGAAAAGCAGCAGGTGAAAGAAATCAGATGGGGAAGTCCTCAGCTGCCCCTGAGGAGATAAACAGAGAGCAGTCCTCCAGAGGAGGTGGGGATGTGCTGGTGGGACAACAAAGCTGAGCAGATAAGACTTCATATGCAAAATGTGAAGGGGGTCTACAAGAAAACTGGGGAGGGACTTTTTACAAAGGCAAGTAGTGATAGAACAAGGGGTGATGACTTTAAACTGGAAGGGGGTAGTACCTCAGAGTACCTCAGCCTTTTCCTTATCCTTTGTCACAATGTTTCCCTGTGTATCCAGTAAGGGATAAAGATTCTCCATAGCTCTCCCTTTGTTACCTAAGTATTTACAGAAGCATTTTTTATTGCCTTTTACTGATACAGCTAGATTGAGTTCTAGCTGGGCTTTGATTGTTCTAATTTTCTCCCTGCACAGCCTCGTGAGGTCTTTGTAGTTCTTGTGAGCAGACCCTCCTTTTTTTCCTGTCCTTCTTCAGGACTGCTGCCCAAGGGACTCTGACAACCAGACTCCCCAATAGTCCAAACTATGCCCTCCAAAGGTCCAAGGTGGCAGTCCTGCTGACCCCTATCCTGACTTCTCCAAGAACAGAAAACTATCGTTTCAAGATCACTGCACCCAATGTGGCCTCCAACCACCACTTCACCCACTAGAACTTCTCTGTTAATGAATAACAGGTCCAGTGGGGCACCTTGCCTGGTCTGTTCCATCACCAGTTGTGTCAGGAAGTTGTCTTTTATACACACCAGGAACCTCTGAGGTTTTCTACTCTCTCATTGTCTCCTGTGACAAAAACCCATCTCTTTTTCTTGGTGGCTGAAGTTTTGATGTAGGCTGATTTACCTTTGGTGACATCTCCAGTCTAGGTGTACTACTACCCTCATCATTTTCCGGCTCCACTTGCAAAGCCCCATACCTGTTCTGCAAGGGCACCTGAGAAGGTGGGGTAGCCACAGGGGTGATGCACCTGCTGTGTCAGGCAGGAATTTCCTGCCATTGCCCCTTGTCTTTTGAGTCCTTGCATTCAGCCAGACAGCAAGTAGACAGGGGTCTTCTGTCTCAGGTGGTCTGTTGGCCTGTCTTAGGGAGGTCAGCACCATGCTCTAGCTGACGTGCCACACTCTCTTTGACTCCTCTCCTTGCTCACGCTCCCTGGGGCACCTTTTATAGGAGTAGGGGTTGCTGGCCATGGCTCTGACTCCACTCCTGCTTTGTCAGCAACCTGCCCGAGAGCTGCTGGTCCCCAACACAGGCTAGCTACTTTTCTGGCTTGGAAAAGCCCACAAGAGCCCCAGAAAGAGCCCTTGCTAGTCCTTTTTGTCACTATTCTTCTCCCCAGGGTGGACTTACCCGCACTGGAGCAAGTGTCCTCAGTGGGTGACTGGTCACAGCTAACAGCTCTAAACAGCTCGTTTAGAGCTCTAAATGCACCAACTGGGCTTTGATTCTCCTTTTCATTTTCTTTTTGTTTGTGCAGCCTTCCCACACCCAGTGAAGACGGATGAGTGATGACTGGAATTTGGGATGTTCTCCTTCAGCCTCTACACCTACTTTTCCATTTTCCTTTGCTTTCTTTTTTTTTTTTTTTTTTTTTTTTTTTTGGCCAGCTGACAACTTCTCAAATCCCTTTCCACCTTTGGAAAAGGTATGAGGTAGAATGGCAGGGAAAAGGTTAAAAATACCCCAAACCTGTAATTTAACCGCTCTGTCGCTCTTCCACAGGTGAAAATTTTTGAAAGGAGAAAAATGAAGAGTTTCATTCTGCATTTAGCTCTTCTGTAACTGCAATTTTTCAGAAGCATCTGAAGAACATTAAAAGGAAAAATAACTCTAGTACAAACTTCAGTGAGCTACAAATGGCAGCAGGGGGGTTTTCAAAAAAGGATGAGAAAGAAAAAAATTTTAAAGATTACTGGAAAATTTATCTTAAAGACTTTCAGATTTCTAAACATTTAACTGAAAATAACATGCTATATTAAGTTGCTCTTCTAGATTTCCAAGCACGGTGCTGCAGCCAAGGACAGGGTGCCCAGGTAACTTGAAGAAACAGCTACACATAAAACTTCCTGTGGGTTTTTTTTGTTTGATCTGACCAAGGGAAGGCTGTCTGTGTAGAGTATGATGTGACATACTTAGAAAAGTGGAGAGAGCTTACTGCTTGTGAGATAAGGCATATAATGTATTTAAAGGTATTTCCTTGCTGTCACTTGTTCATTGAATTCAAACAAGAAGTCAAAATATAGAGGAAGCCAGAGACTACTAGTGCATATTTGCACCAGCACTTACAGTTGCAGGGACCCCATCAAGCTGTCGTGCTCCATGATTTGACACCAGGATTCCATTTACCCCAATATTTACAGCTTTTTTAGCATCATCAGCTAGAAAAAAAAAAACATAAAAAAAACAAGATATACCTTTCCATATTGCAGAACTTAATGACATCATGATGAAGGAAATTTTGACATCGCTTAAAAAAACATTGCCAGCTAATGCAAGACCACCTTAGGGCTTCATCCTTCCACAGCCACATGTCAACATAGAAAAAAGTTTTCTTTTTAAGAAAGAAGACCAGAAAAGTAATTTGAAATGTTGGAGCAGAACACTCTACCACATTGGATTAGCTGCCACTTTAGTTGCTACCATTTATTTTTCCCTACTATGTCCCACAACATATCAAAAGAAATTATTTTCTCAAATTATTTCCTCCCAGTTGACAGTCCAATTACAATAATAATCCATACTTAATGCAACCACTTCACTGTGCTCATTGCTCTTTTGACAGAACGGAAATCCACTTTTCCTTTACATTTTATGCAACTCAGGTCAGAGTTTACAGGTGCAATGAACAGAGCAAGTTTAATCTTCCTGGCCACATCTGACTCCAGACATAACTGATGCGATGCCTGACAACAACTGATTAGTGATCAGTTGTGATCAATAGTGATCAGGTCCCTACTTACTGAACACCAAGGCAGACACATCCACTAGCACAGTCATACAAACCACCTGCTTATTGAAGTATCTGCTTCTGATAGTGTCTTGGTCGCTGGGTTTCTAACCATACATGAGGAAGAAAACGTTTTTTCCCTTTGATAGTTTTTGGCTGTGTTTTGGCAAATTTTCTCTACTTAGCACAGCAATCTGAATGTGCATCCCACCTTCGTCCATAGCTGCAAAGCAGACACTCACTTTTAAAAAGTAACACAGTTTTATGCAATTCTACAGAAATTTCCCTAGCATGAATACTTTTCCTTCCCTTGTGCTTTTGTAAGACAAGATGCCTGAGCTCCCCCAGGAGAAGTGCAGAGCTACAGACCTCTCAGGATTCCTTTTGCGACGATGGGCAGTGAGGTCAGCCCTCGAAGCCATTTGATGTCCTCCCAATTGACGCTTGCATCAATCGCCTCGGCTACGTACACAGCCAGTCCACTGTTTTCTCCAAAGTCTTTCCCTGAGGAGAATGCCAGGTTGCTGCTTGAAAAGTTTTTTAATCTAAAATGACAATAGACATATAAAGGTAGTCTGAGAAAGATTAATTTTAGTCACAAATCTGTCCCTAATGCCAGCAGTCAATATACCTTTGTCAAACTTTGCTGTACTGCAGGGCAGGAGCAGAAAAGAAAAAAAAGCCAAAAACCTTTGGTTGGCAAAACATTTGATAACATTGGTGGAAGTTTCTCTAGCCCAAGGCAAGAGTCAAAAGACACTTTCAAAAAAAGTAAGATGGAGTCCGAAATCTAAAGGTTCAGCATCAAATCCACAATCAGGGAAAAAACCCAGCAGTGAGAGCACTAATTTGGGTTCAAGCATCTCTCTTCCCATAGACCATCCATGTGATATTGGGCACAAGACTTATCCGCTCCTTTTGCCTCAGTTTCCCACCACAAAATAAGAAAAAGTGTATCTGCTAGGAGCACTGTGAGGATAAATGAAGCAGAGGCTTTGGGACATTCAGATCCTAGAGTGGTACAGGTTGGATGTAAGAAGAGAAAGTCAATCTTGCTTGACATAAGCCATGACGCACTGAAGTCAAGAGGTTCACCTCTACCTACCAAGAAAAAAAAAAAAACCCAAGGAACAAAAAAACCCAACTCCTTCGCTTTCATGCAGCAAATTTGGGTTTGGTGGTTTTGTTCAGTTGACTGGTTTAGGGTTTTCTTTGGTTGGTTGGGTTTTTTTGTAAAATCAAGGGAATTCAGGTTCTGGAGGGAATAGGATAGATAGAAAGGGAGAAGAGGGAAGGGAAAATTTTTTTGATGGAACTGCATAAGAATTCAAAATCTTCATCTGTACAACAAGACCAACATCCAGACAGTTAGTTCCTCTTGTGTCTTTTTTTGTATGTAAAATGTCAGGGGATTGGGGAGGAATTAAGTTTATCAACTATTTTTTGCTCTTTAGCATCGAATCAATCTCACAGATTCTAGGAAATAAAAGGTGACAGCCCCTGCACCAAAGAGTTCACAGACTTAGTAGACAAAATAGGAGAAGGAGAAAGGAGAGCAAACAGAGAAATTAAGGTAGTTTTTTGTCTTAGAAAGCTGAACCAGCCCTGAGTGTTCACAAGCATTAAACCACCATCAGCGACACCAATCCTGCTGAGGATGCCCATGTCTCACATGAGGCGGATTACTGTTCTTTGAAAACTGTCCCTCATTCCACTTTGCACTATTTTATACTCATATTCTTCACTTTTTTAAAGGTGCAGGGGCTTTTTGGGTGGAAACTGGCTAATTTCTCTGCTGATTTCATGCCTGCAACAAGCAGCATTTCACATTGCCTTTCTGTTCAGCTCCAGGCACAGAAGAAAGTGAAAAAGGAATGAGGTCTCAGCACAATCCAGCTTTTTAGTTGTTGGTTTGTGGAGGTTGGGATACTCAAGGAAAAACAGAACCATGGATAAGATGATATAAATAACTGTTGTTAACTGTGAAATGCACTTAAATGAATGATGCCCTACATACGTTTCTGACCACAACGGCACCTCGTTAGTGCTGTGAAACTTTGTTGATAACCTTAACAGAGCAGAGCCCCATGCTAGGAGAGTTTCACCATCGATTCTGCAACATAACACTGTCCAAGTGTCATTCTGAAATTTGAAGTGACTAATTTGAATCTTTAAAGATTACTCCAATCTCAAATTATTTCATGTGTCACTCAAAACCTTGCTATTGTTCAGTCAGGTGGGATCAAAGTGTTTCAGAAATGCTCTATCGCTTTCCTCAAATATTGTTGGGTTATTTTACTCACATTCAAAAGCTCTTTAAGGCAAGGTTTTACAATGACACTGTCCCTAAAAGCTTTTTAAAGATATATTTATTTAATAAAATTTTTTTTAGGCATCAATAATATTTTGTCAATCCTAGATCAATAGCAGTATTACTTTACAGGCTATATGCATACTTGTGTACTACATTTTAATTTTAGATGTGTCAGGGATTTGTTGTTGTTGTTGTTTTCAGTACCCTCATAAGATTTTATTTTAACAAAAAATTCATGGGCAGAGATAAGGTTGCTCTTTCAAACTTCATCATCCTATATATTAATTTTGAGTACAAGCATATGGGGAGATCCAATGCCCCAGGCTCTGGAGGGTTTTTGCCTGCGAGGTGATGAATCAGATTAATTTCACAATTCCATGTCTTACCTTCTATTTGAATATTTTGAAAAAGAAGAAAGACTCAGGATATGCTATTATATTTCTTGCTATGTACACATTAACTATGGTATATGCATAGTATAACATAACAGTCTTAGGAGACATAGGAAGAGCACTTCAGATCCATTGATAATATTAAAAACTAACTTTGACCCAGAACTCAAATCAAAATTAATCTTCAAAACAAGCTCAGCTATCCTCTATTTTTTTTTTTCATTCAATTTTTTCCTTCTCTTGCAGGCTTTGAATAAGAGTAAACACAATAGTCTCACTATATGCCACGGCAGACTGCGCTCACTAACAAGAACTGCTTGCAAGACTCTTGTAAGATTTTTAGCTCCATTTTACAAATTCAGTTCCTGGGTATCCCAGCCACTAAATACTTTTCCAGCCAGTCCTTGGCTGCTAATGTGCCTGTACTTCAGCCCATGTTTATCAGGGTGGGCTCTGCATACTATCAATGGATATTTGCAAAAGGCTGGTGAAATCAGTGCCCTTACAACATCGCTTTAGAACTCTGTTCAAATTCAATGCTGCGTAGGACCTGCAGTAGAGAGGAATTATAATTAACGCTAAAGTCAATCACGAGGCCACAAATTCTTCTGAGATATGGAAAATGTCCCTAAACTCATGCTAGGGTAGAAATTGCCCTCATGGAGAATTTAGAAAGACTGATACCCATTTGATTATGTTTTTGACTAAAAGAAGAGTTGAAGTTTCTTTCTGGTCAGTAGCAATAAGGTCTTGGACCCATCTCAGTGTCATAGGATAACATAGGTTAGAAAGGACCATAATATCAGTTGGAACAGACTTCTGGTCCACTTAGTCCAGGCCCCCATTTCAAAGCACAGTCCACTCTGCAGTAGGATCCAAGTTCAAAGTCACAGTAAGTTGCACAAAGTTGTGGCCAACTGAGTTTTGAAGATGTCCAAAGATATATTGACAGACATACAAACAAATGCCTCATCACTCTACCATTGTCAGTCTGCAGCCTCATACTGCCTGGCACACAGTGTCTTTTACACTTTGCAAACACCTAAGAAATTTTAGTTTTGACCCAAAGCGGATCAACAGTCCAAGAACAGCGAGAAATGTTCTCAGTTCCCCAGTGTTATTGTCCAGTGTGGCGTGTGGAACCTGGAAGTTTCTTGTGCCAGAGACAAATTTCTTCCACAACACCTCTTGGTGATCATGCCACTGCCATGTGCCCATTCCACATCTTGCCAGCATGCACCTACCTGAGATGGGGAGGAAGCTGGAACCTGTTGCGCACGTCGTCAAAACGCCTGCCGAGGAAAGGCGTGTCCACCGTCACAAAGATCCCTTTGTAGCCCGCTCTCTCCGCACGCTTCACGAGGGATTTGGTAACCTCTCGGTCTTTGTACACATAAAGTTGCAGCCAGTGAAGGCCAGCTGGAGATGCTTCAGCCACTTCTTCAATGGAAGAGGTGGCCCAGGAGCTCAGCATCATCCCTGTCCCCATTGCATGACAGGCTGGAGGAAGATAAAGTTATATTCAAGACACAGGCTTCTCTAAACAGGAGCACTTGGCTCACCAGAGTGTGTCAGGGAACATAATTTCACACTGCCTTTCCTCAGTATTCACACTTTTTCACCCTGCCAGGGAATTATAAATTAACAGCAGTTACTGACAGTGGTGGTGGGCTACTGAAAGCACTCTCTGGCTTACTCTGTTTTTAGGTAAAATTCTGGTGACTGCTCTCTGCACACTCTATAGGAAGATTTCTGCTCCATTAATGGAACTAAAAGATATTATAATCAAACTAAGCCTAACCCATATTAATAATTCTTTTTCTTATAGGCAGCCTGTTTGTAAGCCCATAGCATCTGTCTACCACAGAAATTTTGGCACATACATTTAAGGACACACATATATACACAGTATTTTCAATGTTCCAAAAAAACACCATCAAAATGCATTTCAGGTTTCCAACTTCTTGAATACCGCCATATTGCTGTAGACCAGTGTTTCAGACCTGTCACTCTCAATGTTATTCTCGAGTCCTCCTCACCACTGCCATACATGTTCTCTTGAGCATTTTGATCATGGTATTTTGGCTGTTTTCTTCCACCCCAAAAATATTCACTGTCATTTCTTTAAGTGCTCTTCTAGTAAATTTTTGGGCCATAATAATTTTTACCCAGAGAAGCTGCGGATGCCCCCTCCCTGGAAATGTTCAAGGCCAGGTTGGATGAGGCTTTGAGCAACCTGGTCTAGTGGAAGGTGTCCCTGCTGATGGAAGGGGGGTTGGAACTGGATGATCTTTAAGGTCCCTTCCAACCCAAACCATTCTATGATTCTATGAAAACAGAAGGCCACAGTCCAGCAGACAATGGCATTTAAAGACTCAAGGGGGAAGCTCTCCTCTTCTTTGCTTCAACACTTTTGCTGCCTTTCTCATGGCCTGAAGGAGAGGAACCCCACATCCATTGTGTGATCCCACACATAAAGTTTTACCCTTCTAGCAAGAAAAAGTAGAAGTTCTGATCCAACTGAGAATGGGAGGAAAGCATCCCAAGTGGCAGTCTCTACCCAGAACACAAAAACTTAATACAAAGATGACCCAATACAGCAGCACACAAGTGGTCCCTAATGATTTAAAGATTTAAAAGATTTAAATCTCAGAAGACTGATTTAAAAAACTGAGACAAAAGAGATGAGTGCTCTTGCCCAACATGTTTCGATCCCTGCTCTTTTACCTTCAAAAGCTGTGGTGTCAAATCAGTCTCAAGGTGTTGGCAGCCCCAAGGTTAAATGTCATCGAACAAGCCCTGAAGTGGTCAAGCGGTCAGTGCCTCTGTGCTGGCTGCCTCCCTGGGTTTGATTTCTAACCCGAGCTGCACTACAAACCAGCTACCCTCATACAATTATATTTTTATTAATCTATCACTTATTCTTTTTGGAATAATCTGTCACTTAATGTAAAATAAAGGGAAACACACTGTAAAACTCAGAAATCTTTCATAAAGCCTTATTTTTCTTGTTCTACAGCAGCATGCATATTTTAAATATAAATGACCTCTGTTACAAAATGTCATTTCCAGCCAACAGAGGAATTAAAAAGTGGTCTTTATAATAACATTTTATTAAATGAGGATTATAAATCCGTTAGAGTAGAAACTTATGAACAGTTTATACAAACAAATTGGTTCACTCTCCCATGGCCACTAGGGAGATTTCAATCAGCGGAAATATACAGTAGCAACAAACCAAAACACTATTTTTCAGCCATTTAATTCGTCCCCTTAAAATTATTGAAAAGAGTTCCCTCTCCCAGATTAAGTACCAAGAAATTAGATTCTTTTGAGAAACTCATGCATACTGAACACTTAAAGTCCTGTTAAAATCAGCTGTGGAGTTTTGTTGTAAATCTCATTATAAATGATTTGCCAAATCAGATCTACTAAGTGTTTCTAAGAAACACGGGATCCACATTCCTGTTGTTATTGAATGGAGTTTGTGAATGAGAGGGAGCGTTGCTGAACTCGTAGTTGCAAAGCTTTCAGATCAGGTAAGGGAAAAATGTAAATTGTTCAATCTGCCTTTTATTTATCCACTTATTTCCATTTATTTCTATTTATCCATTTATTTCTATTCTTACTTTTATTCTCAGCTCCTCCACAGCCCAAAGGATACAAGAATAGTTGCAAAAGCAAAGATGGAAACAGAAATTGAACACTAAAATATATTCAGTGAATGGAAGATTTAAAGCACAGAATAATACCATATCGTTTCAACTTACCTGGATACATGGCAAAAGAGAAGATAATGCTTTCATCTTATCTAAGATTACAATTAAAGCAGTTTGATTCAATCAGAGTTCAACTATCCCAACCTGGGTTATGCCCTTTTCATGAAAGCATATTAACAAAACTCCTTTCTTTCACACTGTAAAGTTAACAACTGTCTGGTAAAGCACCAGCTCGACACGTGTATTTTGTATCTGCCCAGTCAAATTCACAGTGCATGCATGAAAATTTTTCTAAGTTTTAGAGACTCAAAATTCCAGTTTTAGTTGATCTGTCCTTTATCTTGCTCATTCTAAAGCTTAATTTGACAATATTTTCTGACTTTAAAGTACATATGATACATACTGCTGAAGGGTTGCCATTTTCTGGTTTTATACTATCTCAAATCAAGTGTTGCTAAAAATAAACTCCACTTCTTACATATTTATCTACAGTTGAAGAAAACACAAGCAATTAATTTCCTCCAACTTTTTTACAATTCATTTTTGGGGTGCTGCAAATAACTCTGTTTTTACAAATCAGTATTAGATCCGTATTCCCGCAGCATGCTGCTTACGGCAATATGTGTGACTTTTGCCAAAGTTTAAACATTAGACTTTTTTAAAACCAAGCCTTTCATCATGCCATTTCATATTGCTTTTCCTTGTTGTTGGGTTTTTTCCAGGTCTTCCTTTAATCCCAAGCATTGCCAAAAGCATACATTCACCTTTGCCCATACTGCAGGCTCCCATTGAGGTCAATGACAGTGCAGAGAGCAGGACGTTAGACACACGAAGGAGGCTGGGGAAGTTTTCAATATCAGGACGATAAAGCTTTGAGTTATTTGAACTCAATATTGTTTTAGGGACAAATGTAACTAGAATTGGGATATTTGGGTTGCTTGGGAAAAGGGAGCTTTAGTCTTCTTTCCACGGCTGTAGGTTTCTCAATCCCATTGCTACCTGCCTGTACCTAGCCCAGGGAAGCCCTCAGCAAGGACGTGTCTCCTCATTAATGAACATAAACCTCAATAAAGTGAGGGCTTTTCTTATTCTTGGGGAATTGAACTTAGGAATAAATCAAGGTTGATCATAGGACAGGATCCACTTGGGCAGTACAAAGAAGAAGAGACCAACAATGTTCTTTTAGCCCTTTTTTATTCTGAAACCTCAGAGTCTCCTTCCCACCTCTGCTGGGACATTACTCCATTAACTGGTATGGGAAAGGTATAGTGTCTGTCTGTCCCTATGGGCAACTCAGAGGCAACATTGTTCCGGGAGGACACTAGAGAAGACCACAGTTTAAACCTTCATATTTTGTCAGTTACCTTGTATAGGACTGGGAACTTTTCCTTTTTAGCAGCATCTCCAAAGCAAGGCACTCAAATTTCCCCACTGTGGTTATTCTTCCCTGAATCCACCAAGTTAGGGGCCAGAGAACATTACTTGGGATCAATACGATGTCCTTCTGGCATGGTGGTATTTCTCAAGAGAAGTAGCTATGTTCTTGGAGTTGCATCCCCTAAGAAACAGAGTTGTTTAAAGTTCTTAACATTACTCCCTTGACAAAACACTCTTGGATGAGTGTGCCCTGCTCAGTCTTAACTCACTTACCCTTACAATGTGTGTGTGGGCTGTGATCACAATAATTTTGTTGACTACAACTGATTTTGTCAGCTATGCAGGAAGGGTGGAAGCATCAGGGAAAATACACATGGCCAAAATGGATCTAGCTGATCTTAGGAGAACACAAGAAAGACCTGGACCTGTTAGAACGAGTCCAGAGGAGGCCACGAGGATGATCCGAGGGCTGGAGCACCTCTGCTGTGAGGACAGGCTGAGAGAGTTGGGGCTGTTCAGCCTGGAGAAGAGAAGGCTCCGGGGAGATCTTATAGTGGCCTTCCAGTACCTGAAGGGGCTACAAGAAAGCTGGGGAGGGACTTTTTATAAGGGCAGTTAATGACAAAACAAGGGGAAATGGCTCTAAACTGGAAGAAGGTCAGTTTAGATTAGATATTAGGAAGAAATTCTTTGCTGTGAGGGTGGTCAGACACTGGAACAAGTTGCCCAGAGAAGCTGTGGCTGCCCCCTCCCTGGAAGTGTTCAAGGCCAGGTTGGATGAGGCTTTTGAGCAACCTGGTCTAGTGGAAGATGTCCTTGCTGATGGCAGTGGGGTTGGAACTGGATGATCTTTAAGGTCCCTTCCAACCCAAACCATTCTGACTCTATGACTGTCATGCCAGACTGCCTGCGTACACTTGCATCAGAGACTCCTGGCTCTGCCAGTCTCAAGGGGAGTCTGGGTCAGGTCAGGTCAGTCCAAAGTGATGGGTCGTGAGGGCACCCAGTTTTACCTTACAAGAGACACCAAAACATGTCCATACCTCTAGAGAGGACATTATGACACAACCTGCAGGCAAACCTAGTGGAAGAACAGAACAGCTCAAAGCATAATTCTGTCCAATAAGGGAGGATCGAGAACTGTTCTCTAAATACAGAAAGGTAGAGGAAGGAGTTGTTATTGCTACTTGCACCAACCTTTCTCTGCAGGTAAGGATGGTGTGAACCCAAGATTATCTTGATTATCTCTTGGGATTTAATCCCAACCAGGCAGATTAGTGCAGCACCTGGTGAGTGGTGGCCATGCTCACAGGGGCTTTGGGTGCTCATTTGGATGTGCACAACATCTGCTTCTCTGGTCACGAAAGGGCAAGAATCAGAAAACATGGTGCTTTACAAGAGGTGTCACAATAGCAGAGATACCACTACCTACATCACACAGGGCAGCCAAATGTCAAGCTTACAAATGACACCATGCTTTCCAAAAGCCACGAGAGTATGGATCAGACTTTCCTGGCTTGCATAAACTGATGCAGTTGAAACAAAAGCTGATTTCATGCCATCAACAATCTGTTCTTTTATATTTCAGAGGTATAGCAGTTTAAGAGAAGTTGGATGTGGCAAACCCCCTAATCCCAAATATCCCAAGTTAAAGGGAACCTTCAAGCCAAACGTCTACTTTACAGCTAATGCCTGTCATTTTGTGAGGTCAAACCAAAAGCTTGGCTCTAGATGCCCCACTCCACCTCTAACAGAATGCAAAACTGAAACCACATTTTTTTCTACAAGAACTGTGTGATTTTAATTACACTGTCCTTTGAAAGTGAAGGAAAACTTACCAACTCCCATGGTTATGTTTATTTGATCATATATTCAAACCATTGCTTGTATACCAAGCACACTTAGCTTGAAAACCTAAGAACATTAAATGCAATAATCTTATGTTAAAGGTTGAATATGTAAGTTCAAAAAATTTAGGAAATTCCAAAATCAAGCGGTCTACCACAAACAGAACTCAACCCTGCTAGTCAGCCTTATTGTACCACTCGATTCTACATTTTGTTAGAGATTTATGCCTTAAAACACGGCCCAGCTGTAGTATCGGTGGGAATTTTTGTTATGGAACGTCCTGAATTTTGTGTTTCAAAACTCGCTTTTAACATTGCAAATTTGCATTTAACAGTAGAACACTTCAGAGTCTCCTCCCAGCATAACTTGGGCCAGAAATAATCCCCAAGAACTGCCAAAGGATAGGACCAAGGCGTCCCACCAGAAGCTGCCTCACAAACCCATTCAAGGTATTCGAGCTCCATCGTGTGGAACACACTGGCAGGTACAACAGGCATAAAAGCTTTGACTTCCTAATAAACCGCTTGGGAAGGGGAAAAATGTATCACCAAACATACTATAAAACCGGAAAAATCTGCTTTTACAGCGAGTGCTCCTGGAGTTGTGCTGCAGCCCAACACGGTGCACACCACAGCAACGCCGCTTCCTAATGAGAATTGAGACCAGCTCCCTCTGCAAGGCAGATCATTAAACTCACTTCACAGTAGCAGTTGCTGCCTTGGTCATGGAAATGCTGTTAGAGGACTAGCTCAGCCATGCACGATTTATTTATTTATTTTAAATATTGCCTGTTTAGGTTTTGTACCCTTCTTCATGCAGTTCTTAGAGCACTGAAACACAGCCCAATGCTATTTGGCACACCATTGTGACTTACTAGATTTGAGTCATCCTGCAACTTGGGTTAAAGGAGCAAGAAACTCTACCACATCTGAAATCTGGTCACTGTCCCACTTCTTGCAGCCTTTTGGGCTGCAGCTTCCACGCCGGCAACATCTTTGTGCAGCGTTTAGTCCAGAGGGCCCTTATCTCACTGTCTCTCTGTGATGCTCTCAAAGAGCTCTCTTCAAAGCAAATATTTTTTCCCAGATGAGCAAAGGCTTCGGAATTTCTAGAAGCAGTTCAGTAACAGGAAGAATGTTGCTGTAACAACATTGTGATATTTATAGAATGTTATAGAACGGGATATGGATAGAAAGAGATATAGATCTATATAGTTTTCAATTTTGTATTTCTTACAAATAATTACCCTCTTACATACTGATTTCTCGTCCACGTTTCATCGCAAGGAAGAACTCGCATAAAACATAAAAGGAAAACAGTTTAAAAAAAAAAAAAAACAAACTACCAAAAATAAACCCAGTTACTCTGAGCAGCAACTCTGGCCACAGACAGCATCAAGAAATCAAGCTGGGCTTCACAAAGAGCAGGCTCTGTTCATGACTCTGTTCATCTCTCACTCACCACAGGGGGACTTTGTCCAGGTTACCTTTAGCAGTAGCCGTCTCTCCGTCAGCGTGAGCCATGCGCTGCATAGCGGTGGCTCCAACGCAGATTGGCATGCTGATCTTCTGTCCCAAGACTGAGGTTGACAGGTCCATTACTGACACATCCCTGAGCACCCGGGGGTACAGCTTCCATCTGACACAGAGACAAATACAGAAAATAAGAAACATGACTTATCGAGATTATTTAGAGCTCACAGTGGGCAAGAGCAGATTTTTCCTGCTGTTGGGAGAAACATGGTGAAAGCTATGATGGGGCTGGAGCAGAACCTCATTGCTTGACCCAGCAGGACCCATGGAATGCACAAAGCCATGAAGGAGCAGGCAAGGAGCAACTGAAGTCCATGGAGGATGGAAGAGGCAAAGAGCCTTTGAACATCATTGGCTGGTATAATTTGAAGGAAAAGAAAAGATACAGAAAAGAATAAGGTTCACTGAAAGTCTCAGCCTCCTCAAAAGCCTTGGGATAGATATGGATGACAGAGGGTGTATGGGAACAGAAGTCATCAGCTCCCCTCAGTTATTACTTCTATGGACTAGACCAACAAAGGACACAGGATTTTTTGATAAAACTAGCCTGGCCAACACGCTTAACCCTCCCTGTCCCTGTGCTTACAGGTCTCTCCACAAACTACACAAACAAGCTCTCACGTGGGAAGTGGGTGGGCAGGACGGCTGCCCTGGCTTTCCTCAGATCAGGGTGGTGGTGGGGGCAACCACTGCAACATATTTCTGCAGGCACGAAGACTGAGTCTCTTTTGCTTGGAGATGGCCCATTCCTGTCAGTCACCAGCTACTGAGCAATACATAGTCCCTGGGACTACACCTGCAGCTCCAGGGACAGCCCATTGTACCACAGGGCCTCCAGACCTCCAGGAAAAGACCAAATGCAGTCACTGTAATTTAGATGCAGACCAAGTACCATAACTACTTTCCCAGTAGGGCAAATTAGGATCTAGTCCTTCAATCACATGGCCCAGTTTCTGCTCAACCATTCCCAACCTTGCTTTGCCTTCAACATGTCCACCAGAGAATACATCAGCCTACAGCTGGCCTTTATTTTCTACTGGGGTCTTCAGCGCTGGTTACACATACACAGTGACTCCAAAACAAAGCAAACTAACACACACTTAATCTGGAATTACAATATATTGTGGTCAAACTGTAGACCATGTGCTTGCACATGCAGCAATTTATCTGTGCTCCTGTATTATAGCAACATGAAATGTGACCATGAGATTTTTTTCACATTAGCATGAAATAAGACCGTAAGACAATTTCCTCCTACAATTCAAAGCCAGGTGCAGAATACCAAAATAGCAGCTTCTCAGACATATCTCAGGTCCTGGCCAAACCTGGGATGTGCCCATGTGAAGTGAAAATTACCCATCAGATGTTACCGTGCCTTTCTGCCTGGGTAATTTGTATGTTAGATTGTATAAAAGCAGGACCTTCTCACAACAGAGATGGAGACTTCACCTGAGAGTGGACACACTGTGTAGGACTTCCCAATTGCTGGAGAAAGGCTCTCCAAATCCTTCACTGTGACTGGGCTCCCCAGCTGATATAAACGATGCGGATGATGATAAGTATTTGGGCATTTGGTGAGGTTTCTTTCTTAATTACGATGCTTTTCTTATGTAATAACAATTAGGTGCATTACCCTGTTTAACTCTGTACCTTGCTGCTTCTTTTTTTTTTTTCCTGTTTTATAGAGTAAAATAAGTTTGTTTCTAGTATTCAGTTGGTGTCTATGTCCTTTTTGCCAGCTGCATCAATTGGCAAAACAACTACCTGCTCAGCACTAGAAAGCCTGATGCTGGTATTATTACTATTACTAGCAAGAAGAGAGGAACCATATATAGTTGTTACCATTATCATTATTATTTTAATTTTATTTCACTCTAACTATGAAATTGGTCTTATCGCAACCTACAAATCTCCTCCCCTTTACCCTCCAGTTCTCTCCCCTATTCCCTGGGGAAGGGGTCGAGGGGGGGTGCAACTGTGTCGTGTTTGGCTGCCAGCCAAGTTAAACTATCACACACAGATTTCTGAAGCCCTAGAGCACAGGGCTGTGCCATTTCTCCGGGAAGTGCTCCCCAGGGAGAAGAAAGATAGTTATGATTCTTGGAAGGAGATGTGTAGTTGTGGGAATCAGCTGTATAATTCAGTGCCAAGACACACACTGCGAGTATACCTCCTCAGACTTGTTTTCATGCTATTGTTTTGGTTTGTTATTTTTAAAGAGGAGGATAGGCTGAGGGTGGGACAAAAAAAAAAACCATGACTTTTTTTCTCCCCCTTTCTTCCTAATCTTCATTCTGGAGGTTTTCTCCCCGCTCTGAGAGATCTTTTCTGAGCAAATATAAAGAAAACAAAAATCTTTTAATAACTTTGCTAATTTTTGTGGTTAAACTCAAAAGCATAAAGATGTGACAACCAGTCTCCTAGTTTCTCTGCTGTCCCAAACCTGTCGGATTTTTACTTGGTGCAAACCACTGCTATCACAAAGCACACACACGAGAGTCAGTCCTGAAGTAACAACATTTCTGTCATGCTTTTAGCTGGAAAAAGAAACAGAGAGAGCAAAAATCCTCCCAACAGAGCATGCAAGAATAATTATACTGTTCCAAGCAGAGACAAACAGCATTTTTCCCCACTTGCCTTTATGTACCATCAAATTACTTAGTCCATGAGTTTTGGGGATCCTCAGAATTATTAGCCCCAGATTTTAAATGTAAATGTCTCCTGTGTTTTCTCTTCCCCTCACACCTGATCAGGTCACATCCTCTCTAGACCAACAGCAAGTCAATACTCATAACTGAGTATTTTACTGGGTCCCACCAAAAGAAACAAAAAAAGGGCTCACTAGTTTAGAGTTGTAGTCTTTAAATAAAACCTGATCTTGTCTTGGAAACCTGGGTGTTTTCAGCTGTGAGTTTGCCAAACACTTGAAGTGAGGCATTTTCTAGACAAGTCATAGGGAAATGTCCTTAACAGCAGCAAGCAAAACCCGAGAGCAGTATTTCCCACTGAGTGGAGAACACATTCATCAGGCTGCCACACACCACCTGCTTCCTCCAAGCCTTTGGGTGAAAACATTTCCTGGATATTTTGCAAAAATCTTGTATATTTTTTTTTAATTCATCATCTCCTTATCACCCACATATTTTTCTAGCAGAGTCCACACTCACGTGCTGCAATCAGCAATTGTGAGTGAGAGCATCTTTCTTCCCAGCTGGAAGCAGGGAGATGCCACAGTGGGGAAGGCAGCGAGCTCTTCTGATTTAGGCAACTTCAGCTAAATGCTGTTTTGAAAGAAGGATGAAAGGAAAGAAGAGGGGATTAGCTGCTTTTTTTCATTTTCCTGTTACATTTAAAAAAATGTCAGAATGTTATCTTGGGTAAGAGGGCAGCACTCACTGCTTTTCCCACTCAATTTCAGCTGTGAAAAATGTTGACATTTTTCAAACTGCAACACATTTTGAACCAGCTCTTCTTGTTTACCTTCCAAATCCATGATAAATACACCCTTCATGCTGCATCGTAAGTGGTACTTTTGGGCACAGACAAACCATTCAAGCAGCCTCCATCCCAACTCCAACCCACTTTACTACCTTAATCTCCCCTACAGCTCCACTTCCCATCATAAGTGCTGGTGTTGTGCAAGGCTAACCAACACCTGCTTTTTCTTGAGGAAAATTTTAAGGCCAGGCTGGATGAGGCTTTGAGCAACTTGGTCTAGTGGAAGGTGTCCCTGCTGATGGAAGGGGGGTTGGAACTGGATGAGCTTTAAGGTCCCTTCCAACCCAAACCATTCTATGATTCTATAAAATCGATTTTTCTCTCCCAGCGAATCTTGCCATCCACACAGTAACCTTTTCACAGCACTCTGCTAATCTGAGGGGAAAGACACTGCAGAAACGTCACCAACTTATTATTACAAGCGTTCATTTCCTTTTCTCCCCTCTACAACATCACATGCTTGTTTGACCCCAATCACATTCTTGGCCTTCTTTAACTGATTATTTAAGTTATTTATGTGCCCAGTCATTGTAACACCCTTAATACCCAGCTACAAGACAATAACATCTGCAGAAACAGAGGCATTGATGCTGTCACTGATAAACAAGCAACTGCTGTTCCTCATACACAACAACAAAATGCATCTTCTCCAAAGGCCACCAGGAAGTCAGTGGCAGAACATATCACGGTGGATTAGGAGAAACATGTTCCCACACACAGATATCCCTGTTCATTCAAATGCTGAGATGGGAGATTTCAGATTGATTTCTTGAATGCCATCAAGCTCAGGGCATCCTGACCTTGTCATAATGTTTATTCTCCATTCAGACCCTTCCAGCACAGGAAGGACATAAGGTGTTTCAGGACACAAAGCAAATGCAAGGTGAATGCAGTTAGAGGCTGTGGTGGTTTGACCCACAGTGGGACCATGTGGTCCTGCAATCACTCTCCCAACCCGGTGAGATGGGATGGGAGTCACAACAAAGGGGACATGGGATTAGGAATGAAGGACAGGGATGGCTCACTCACCAGTTATGGTCACTTTTTCCTTCACTACTTTAACTGTGTGGTGGTTTGACCCACAGTGGGACCATGTGGTCCTGGATTCACTCTCCCAACCAGGTGAGAGGGGATGGGAGACACAACAAAGGGGACACAGGATTAGGAATGAAGGACAGGGAGAGCTCACTCACCAGTTATGGTCACGGGCAAAACAGAAACTCCACTTGGTGAAGAAAACTCAATTTAATTCGTTGCAAACCATCTGAGTA